TAATTGAAAAAAAAACTGTCATCCATACCACAGGAAAATTGACTGCACACGTCTCAATGTTTTCCTCACAACGTTCTTCTGAACGTATCTCGCGTGTGCCTTTAAGGCACTCACTTTGTGTATGTATAAATATTAAATACATATATAGCTACCAATGCCTACCAACCAGGCAGCAGCTATTTTCTGAACGAGTCATTATTTGAACTGTGGCGTGTCGACATTTCGCTTGGGGCCAATAACACAGACTCGGTGCATATACTGATGCTTATATTTATATAATATTATGACATATACACACGCAGAGTACAGGGTGATTCGCCCAGCATGCTCGCCCTCATTTTTACCTTACAACAGTGAATAAGTTATTCAAATTCTGAGTTTTGAAATGTTTAGGGTATTAAAAACTTATTTTCATATATCACTTATATTTTATATTCGATTTAAGGAGTGTCGTGTGCCGATACAAACTATTATCAGTTGGGAACAAAAGTTTACTATTTATTATTATTATTATTTTTTTTTTTTAACATTGTTGTGAACACAAAAAATTGAATGAATAATTTGTTCTCTGTTATTAAACTTGGAGTATTAAGGACGTTGTTATCATTTAAAAGATATCACACTGTCTATGATGATTTGAAAATTATAAAAACTAATATTAATTTATTACGATTTTATAATTTGTGAAAATTTTCCCTGTTTAGTAAGTAGTTCTATTACATCTCTTTATTTTATATTTGATGTAAAACCGTTATAAGGAATTATTATTCTAAGTGCTTAAAAAGGGTAGTTATTCTTATATCTAAAAAAAAATAGTTATTAGTTAGATCAAGTTAATTACAACAGAGTATTAGGTACCTTAAATGATATTGTAACAACTTGAGTATTTGAAAATATCGTCTTTAAGTTACTACTCATAGGTACTTATATTATATTATAGTATAGTATTATATCATATATATTATATTATATAATATTATTTATAATAACTTTAAAAACAGTATTTGATTAATTACACAATATTTTAAATACAAAAAAAAGTCGACATTATGATTGGTGAATCACTCTGTATACTATATTGTACACATCGTTAGTGCTCATAACATGAACTGTTAACATTTTTAGTACTCGTGTGTGTAACATTCTACGTTTTAATCGCTAAAATGTATTGCATTAAGTTATTATACATTTAAGCGTGTCTTAATATAGTTATAATACTGAATTATTGATCTCATCGCACTAAAAAAAAATATAATTTTTTAACCGACACATCCCCCCGAAGTTGGTTTAAAATGGATTCCCACTATGACGCCATAAATCTCGTGGTGCTCACTGTAAATAACTTTTCTGACTCCAATAATAAATTATTATTTATCTATTTTAATACTTAAAATTTGTGGTTTTTGGCTAAATAATAGTTTTAAGATTTTTGGCTTTTTAACAGGTCTCGATACAATTATTGTCTTCCAACTCTGGGACGATCATTCCCTTGAGAGGAGGGAGGGGGGTGAGTGTATTAGAGGCAATGGTTGAGATATTAAGGGATATGGAGGTTTATTATAGCCATGTGAGTCATTGTCATAATATAATATAACAATATAATACATACAGCTTCTTCGTAAACTGTATAAAATATAAAACAGTTGGCTCCATGGCGATGTGTAATTAAGACCATTGATTATAAATACTAGTAGTATAGTATTTATAATCAATGTTAAGACGAACACAGACTGACATATGGGTAGCGTATTTATCTTGTCACGTAATAGTCAACCAGGGAGTGACCGGCTTATGTATAATTATATTATAATAATGTTATATTCATAATCGATAGTAAAACGTTTAGTCGGTTAATGACATATTGTTATTGAAATAATTGAATTTTAAGTGGCGACGGGACGATTTGAGATGATATTGCTTTATGTCTATAATGGGTCGGTGGGTGGCTGGTTGGCCGGGTCTGATTGTGTGTATAAGGTGTCGTACAAAATCAAGTCCTCAACAGCCAACACAAATATCACGACAAATATTTTAATTTATTAATATATGATACCGAGCTTACAGTTATCCCTTTGCTCTGGTGTAATGAATGGGGTAAAAATATTTAATATATATAATTTGCTTCAAAGACTCGAACATTTTGAGAAGCCACTAAGTCTGAACATCTTGATATTGAATATCTTGGCCACTAATTTATTGCTGAAATATTTTGTGAAACGTGATATTATAATGATATCTATTTTTAATGACCAAAATTTTCATGTAAAGAGTAATTTCGTAATTTATTTTTTAAATAAATTCGTACGTTGAAAATATATATATATTTTTGATATAAAATAATATACTAAATTAATTGTTAAAAGAAAAATTCAAAGATTTCTTTGCGAATAACAAAGCAAACATACTATAATAATTTATTATGAATAAAATTATTGACCGGAACGAGACAAAGACGAAATACCATTAAAACTTCTTTACGACTTTTCACTGTGGCAAGCTACTTAGCTACAGATATTTAAAACCTGCTTGTGACGTCATAATTTCGTCGTCATGATGAACCGTATTTATATCAATAACATGCAGATTTCACGATACGCACCGTTTGAATGTTCTTAGAATGTCCTTTGAATGTTTACAAAAACAATAATATAAAATGTTTAAAACCACACTCTATGTTCTGCAAGAGCGTATAAGAAAAATAGTTATTTTTATTTATTTTAACTCGATGTGAAACAATAATAATAATAATAATAATAATAAAAACAGTTTCTGGAGTATAGTAACTCAACGTAACTGCAAGTTTTTTTTTCTCATACAAACACAAACATTTTTACTATTGAAGAATCCAATAGCTGAATGGCTCTATCTTTATACAAGATAATAATATTATATAAATATATAATATACTGTTGTATACACATGTTTAATACATTTATATTTATTCTTGAGATGACAATAACATAATATTTTATATCGAGAAGTCTCTTTGAGTGGAACAGCATATGTTTTTGTGTACCTACCTATTTATAACTTATATTAATTATAATTATTATTATATTATGCTCTCATACTATTTTCATTTCGATTTCCGCGACGTTTTGTTGATTGTTCTACTGCACTTTTAATATTCTATTATGATATAATGAATAGGTACCCTATTAGTATCACATATACCTGTTTGAAATATAATATTATATCGATTATTGTCCGTGGTACAATGTGGTTGCGTATATTATACAACTATTATTGACATACTATTATTATATTGTGTTATGAATTTATGATATATACGTGTATGCGGACGATATTATACCTACGTGGTGGTTAATAATATATTCTACTAATTATAAAGTAAATCTATTACGATGCGTTGAGCACACGGAAAATTCGATTACGACGTGATTACATTTTAAACACCTGCCGGGGATGTAGCTTAAATTGATAGATCTCGTCTAAAGTGAACGTCAACAATTTTGAGGCCAATGTGCGTAAAAAAAAAAAATTAATATCGCATTCAGTTTACGAACTTGTATTCTTGTGTTTACGCGCGGGATTCTGATCGGAAATTTGAGGTCGACATCGTGGTTTTAAATTTCAGCCAAATCGAATTTCTTTCATCCCTTGACCACGGATTCCCGATTCAAAGGATGGCGTACTTCCTACGTTATATGCTTCAACGCGTGTCCTGATTGAAAAAGTGAGACCGTTTTCAGTGTTTCTGCCCCACTAAAAAAATACGCCAAAATTCTATAACATACATTTGATCGTAATTCGACGGCGTGAGCAATACGTTTTTAAACAAAAAATAATAAATACTCCATTTACATGCAACCCGTAACCAAGTATATAATATATTATACAATGATTATACTAAAGTCGATTCTGGGCACGATGCTTGAAGTGAATGATTTTCAAGACTTTTATTTGTTACTTTTTACCAGATATTAGGTCTTCGCCCTTAAATGTTTCAGTTTGATATGATCTTCAGTTTTTCCTGAGTTTTGGAAGGTTTTTAGTGCTTTATTTTTATTTTTGATTGCTTCTTTAATATCGGAGTTCCACCACAGGACTTTGGGTTTTGCTGTTGAAATTTTAGTTTTGCCTATTGATAGGTTGGCTGCACTTATTATTGTTTCTGATATGTGAGTAACATCAATATCAATTGGGCCGTCCGTTGGTGGAGGGTTCATATATAAATTAGTTTCGATTAGTTGTGTGAAGAGACCCCAGTTCGGATTTTTGATTTTCCATTTAGGAATGGTCTTAAAGGGGGACGTTTTGTTCGTTACAATTTCCATTTTTATGGGGAAGTGATCGCTATCGTATATCTTTGATATAGTTGTCCATGAGATTCGTTGGGCTAGTGATGTACTTGACAGTGATAAGTCGATAGTTGAGAATAGGCCGTTGGCTGGGTTGAGTCTAGTATAATCCCCGTTATTGAGAAGGACTATGTTGTCATTCTCCAGGATTTTATTGATTTCTTTGCCTCTGAGGTCAGTTCTTTCCAATCCCCAGTTTTTACTGTGACTGTTGAAGTCTCCTACCAGTAAAAAAGGGTGAGATAATTGTTTGATTAAACTTTCTATGTAGCAGACTACCGTTTAATTTTATGATTTCGTCTTGATTTATTAACATTTGTGGGAGGAAGCTAAGGGTATGTTCATATCCTTCTATGTTGATGATAGCTTTTATGTGATTTAGCTGTGATACTGGGGTTATATTGATGTTTTTTAATGCATTAAGAATTATTTTATTAGGTATGGATGGACACACATTTGATATCGTGATTTTTTTGACTGGATTAATCAATCTGCGAATAGGAATAGTGTGATCGTTTATTGAAATTGTTTTGGAGTTTTCAAGAAGTGTATCGACAACTTCTTTGCTTGAAAGAAAAATACGTAAACGATTGTTAGATATCCTTGACGTGAATATTATGTCCAGTGGGAAGATCAGTTTTCCTATTGCAAGTATATATTCTATTTGTCTGATAGAGTCTATAGAGTTGAAAACAATTGCTTGTTCAATAGATGGAGTTTTTTCGTTTGCAGTAATCGTAGCAAAACTGGTAGGTGGTTTTGTGAAACCATACCACCTACCTGAGTGTTGTCGTTGAAAATAATTACGTTTTGGTTATCAGAAATGGAGAGGTTATCGTGTTGATTAGCTGCGGCGGCAATCTGGTGAGCAGCGGTGTTGGCGGAGGTAGAAGTATAGAGTGGAATAGGCGGTAATGTATCAATCTTATCTACAGAGACATTTGAGTTTAACTTATTCGAGCTTGGATTTGCCCATGAACTGCTTGATTTGGTATAGGTGGGAATTTGTTTAATAGTGGGTTTTTCAGTAGGTGTTTTTGGGTAAGTGTCTGTGATATTTCTATTTGAAATTTTCGTAAAATGCGGGTTGCCTGTTTTATTTTTGTCGTTCATTACGTCTTATGTTCCACGTCAGATAATGAAAATAATGATTATATTACCTGTACGCTTTTCACCGGCATAATTAACGAAGTACTATCGGAAACTATAAAAGCGCACCGTTATGAAAGATATACACGTGCTGTTCGGTCGGAGGTCGAACATGTACTGATTGTGTGTTATTACTTGTTGCAATAAATAGACATTACAAGAATTATAACTAGGTTAAAAACATTGATGTAATATGCAACACAATTTAGCATTAAGACTTAGTCAGTAAGTTTTAGTAGACTAAAACAACATGTAGCATATTGCATATTAGAAACTAGGTTAAGCTATAATAATAATATAAGTATAAGAGATAGAAAAGGAAAAAAGTGTATTCTTAAGCAGTGATTGCGGTAAATGTATTACAGAACTATAATAAAGTGTTATATTTTAATTTGTTGTGATTAATAATAATAATAATATTTATTGAATCGTTATCGATTACAAAGTAGGTACAAATTATACAATATTCAATAAAAATAAATTTTAAAAGCCAGCTTGTGAAAGGGAGCAGCGTGTTAAAAACAGTTATACAATATAAATTAAACATAATTTAAAAAAATACTAAACATACATGCCAAATCCAAAATTAAATATTATATAAAGACTAAATGCCAAGTTCATTGTAACATATAAATAAAACTTAATTAGTAATTACACTTAAATACACTATTATTTAACTTATTTACATAGTTTAAAAATTATTTTTTATTACAAAAAGTAGATACATCAAGATTTAATCGTCTTAAGAGACTAACTAATTATTTTAGCATATAAATTTAATTTTAGTAGACTATTAGAATAAATAATACAGAGAAATGGTAATAAAACTGTCCCTTGTTGGACTCCACAATTTACAAGTAACCAAGTACTAATCACATTACCAAGTCTAACAGCTTGATACCTATTGGACAAAAAAGATATCATTAAGTGTAATGCAATACCTCTGATACCACAATGTTCTAATTTACTTAGGTAGGTATAAGTAATTTATAGTTGACCGAATCAAATGCTTTTCTGACATCTAAAATTATACCAACTACTTTTTCATCTTTATCAATTTTATTTCTAAAATATGTGTCCACACTAACCACCACTTTTAAAAATCGGAGCAATTAGGCATTTTTTTAATGAAGTAGGAAAAATTCCAATTTCAAAAAATGTATTGAATATAATTGAAAGGGGTTCTACCATAAAATCAGAAAACTTTTTTAAAATATGATTTGTTATACCCAGAACAAAAAAAAGAACAACTTTTTTTTTACCAATAACTAAATTCTCAATTTCCACAGAATCAACAGGTTTGAGAAAAATAGAATTATTCACATGACATTTGCGGCATCATATATTGTACTGCAAGGTTACATACATTAACATCAGTTATATATAGTTATATTATGATAATAATCATTTTTTGTGTTGTCTTATACAGTTATACATAATAACTTATTATAAAACAATAAAAAAAAAACTTAAATAAGCTGCGCTAGTGCGTTCGGAGTCTCTTCCGGTTCTGCCGTGTCTTCGTCTTGCCAGTATAATGTAGGGTAGTGGGTGGTATTTATGGTTTAATTGAGTTTTTATTGCATCTGGATAATTGACGACGGAATAATGAAACTTTGACAGCCATTCGACTTGTTAAAATAGACCACGACTAAGTGAGAAAAATGTGTTTCTATGTTTGTAATATTGGAATATTTGAGGCATTCGTATAGTTTCTATTTTGACAAGGTCGTAGATTTTTAAACTAAATATTTCCTTCACTTATGTAATATTATGAGCAGCAATAAATTCTGCGCAAACAAAACACATAAGTATACACATTTTTAGTATAGTAAACTGTATCCGAAATTTAATCATCGTGAAAAACGACTATAGTAAAATGCACCCGACATTTTTCCTACACGTAAAAGGTCAATTTTAAACTGGACTTTTATTATAAAAATACAAAATGGATTGTATGATAAATCCTACCATTAAATACGATTTGTGTCGGATATTATAGCTTTTATTTTAACTTGAGTCGATCGTTTGAATATCACCTGAAACTGTACCGGCCTTAGCATGATAAAAATCATACTTCGCACCCTAAATGTAAGCAGGAAAATGGAAAATACCATACATATACCATAAGTTTTATTGATTTTCGTGTGTTGTTTACATCATAGGATCTGTATCTCGAATTTATTTGTACATACCGGTTTCGTTTTATATTAGATTTAGTTTTTAATTTAATTAATTAATATTACATACTTATATTATAATAAGTCATATTTAGTTAAAATCAAATATATAAGACAATAAAAATACCTATTTAATAAATACATACATCAGTCATTCAAGTTTAATTGTACTGCCAAAATGATGAAGAAAAAAATCATGGTTGTGTGTACCTGTTTTGTTTTTGAATTGAAACACATTTTCTAAACCTATTTGGCTATTCATATTTTTATGAGTGTTAATTGTGAAAATGGACTTAAATAATATTATATTTATTACTGATTAGTGATTACCTATTAAGCTATTGGAAAAAAACACAATTAAAAGGGTTTAAGACGTGTCTCCGAATAACCGAAATTAACCAAACAGAATAAGACGCACCTTTTCCAGTCATTTCCTTTTCTGTCAAACAAACGATATCGATTTCCATCCAAAAGAAAAATGATGTCTGGAACTTGGTCTCTGAATGCTTGATTCCTGAATTCGGCACTCTTAGCGTCAAAACGCTCCTCGGATAGACGGAAGGTCAACAATATTCAAATTCGTGTCAAAAACCACACCTAATAATATGGTTACCTAGTATTACATTACGAAATAGGAACAGATTATTATAAAAACGTAATTAGAATTTTGTAGATAACGTGGGTACCTGCAGCAGTCGACAAACGGTTGACATCGCATGATTTTAAGCTAAACATTTTGGATGCTAATGTATCCGATTCCACCCAATTTGATCATATTATACGAAAACAGAAATAATAATGGTACGCGAAATAAATGAGTGTAACATGAGTATAATTATATTATATAGTGACAACACTGTGAGAATATTATAATATCTCCCGATTTAAGTAATACATTTTGGTTTCGAGGTCCCAGCTGGAATGTCACTCGTTGTTTTATTTATGCATGTACATAGTCCACGTCTGATGTAAATAACGACGATACGTGGACGGATATTTTTTTTACTTTTTACATTTTTAAAACTTTAAAACTGAGCTAGTACATTTTTATGACACTCACATCCCATGTTCCTCAAATAATAATATGGAGACACGAGTATCTTAAACAAATTATAATTTCTCAAAGTAAAACGAACGTGATGCTTGAAGCGATGTACTCAATTGGAATATATTAATGTTGTTTGTTTGAACTGCCTAGTTTCTGTGTATACGAAGTTATTTTATAACATTTAATGGTTTAGTTACTTTTGGTGTATCACGAACAAAATTTAATTATAGTCAGCTGGTGCTTCCGCAGGAAAAGAAACAGACGTGCACCAGACCGGCACGCGACTATTATAATATAAGGGTAGACTTTCGGTAGCGGTTTTCAAAAGGAACCTAATAAATAGAAGATACGTTCTCAAAAAAAAAAAAAACTGTAAATTATGGATTGTCCCTTAGGAAAAAAAAAATACAAAGGACGTTTTTCCGTGTCCCTTATTGTTAGAAAATACATTATATAATACTAATTACGTACAAAATACAATGTGTAAATATAATCTATTTAAAAAAATAAAGTGTGTTAATATTATAAATACTACACCGTCGAGGTTGGTTTAACTACAAGTGTTGTCGTGATTTGCCATTATAATGTAGTCCCGTGACTTCCGGGTAGAAGGAGGGACGAGGAGAAATCGTGGGGGTCTTACAAAATAATGTTTACCACACTAACGCGCTATCATTATAATATTATATACCTATACTATACATTCAATGTTAAATCGTAGTTGGGAACTAAATGCAGTTATTGCATAATATATAAAATGGATAATTATAATATCTACCCTGTAAAATTAGTCTCCACAGTGTCTTCATAGTTGTAGGCAAACATTATCGTCTACCGCTCCAGAAAACTGATGTCTCAATTCTTGGCATACCCATTACATCTGGACTTAAAATGTACCACCGACACCATGGGAGTTCTGACTTTTTTTTTTACCGTACTTTGGCGCTTTGATGTTTATTATTGATAATTATACCAGGCGATGACTGTCTTTACGTAGGTGTATGGTTTATGTCCATACATCATAATACGTCGTATATATAGCTAGTTTCTACAAGGTACATGGTGAGCTAACAATAATATTATTTACTCTACGAGTCACTTCTTACCACAGTATCACACAATAACTCAAGGAACGATTTTTCTGAAACGTGTATATAATATATATATTATAGTGTTTTTTTTTTTCGTAGGGGTGGGGGAATGGTTGGAACGGTTGATTGAAACACGTTTGTTGTATGTGTGGCAAGGATTTGTATCTAAAAATCCCGGGTGGTCACCCATCCGGGAGCTAGAAACACCAGGCACATACGTACACTCAGAGCATTTACGGAGTTGAGTGTACGGACCGCGCCATATTATAATATTTATTAAGCTGAAAAAAAAACTATATTTTTGGAATTTTCAAATAAAAAATAATGGAAACATTATACAGGGTGGGGCACTGAAACGGCCGATTTTACAAATAGATTTTCATTGAAAATCGGCCGTTTTAGTGCCCCGCCCTGTACATTAGTACTTCACTATACTATTTGTATATGCTAATATTTTATAATAATAATCGTAATTGGTCTATGAGTCATTGCGGGACATTCTAAAGATTACTCAGGACTAGTTTTTAGCTTCCACTTACATCGTACCTATGTCCTATATGTGTGTACCAAGTACACACTACACTACTACCGTATGTTGCACAGTGCACTGCAGCGAACAGTTTTAATTTCGTGTCCACGTCACAG